TTCGTTTTTTTTTAAGTACAGAGCAGATTATAAAGCACAAAATGCAGTCTAAAAATTACCGATAAACTTATTGTTCGATAATAGTTTGAGTAATTTTGTGAAAGAGAAGAAATTCTTAAGATAAAAGTGAAGTTACCAGTTATCAATTGAAACCATCAGATTTAATATTTTTATAAGTACCCGAAGTGTTAGCCAAAGAACTCAAACACTGAATGTTTTATGATCTTTTGGTATCAAATTAAAAAAGTTATATGTATTTTTGTACTAAGTGATAAATAGAAAGCGTTATTTTAAATTTCATCCCTAATTTCAAGTTTTTTCTCCTAGTTCATGATCAGATTAAATTGGAATGTATATAATAGAACGGCGCTTTCAATAGCTTTCAAGGGAAAGAAGTTCTGAAGCACTTTGCAAATCTAAATTTGCATCAAAAAAAGTTGTGAAATTCTTGAATCGAAGTGAAAGGATTACATCTGGAAGTATTTCAGCAAACTGATGAATTGCAGTGAAAATTGCAATATCTTTAGTAAACCTTAGTTAATAACGGACAATTAACTCTTCAACAATTGAATCATTTTAGTCTGTGAATTTTTATTGCTTTTATTACATTCATGCGTTTCTTAGCAACAGACTATCAGATCTTTAGTGATTTTGGTAAGTTATGAAAAATGTTTCCAAAAAAACGTAATCAGTTAGTAGGAACCAGAAAATGCCTTTCAAGAGTTCGTCAAAATTCAAAAAAAGATACTACAAAATGAACAAAATATTTAATACAAATATGTTTGATTCTAGTCACAGTGAAATAAAATTTATGATTTAAAAAAAAACAATTGAAAAATTTCGTAAACTAAATTTTATCGTAATTCTTGACTTCACCTATGAAATTAATATCTTAAAAGTCGTTTAAAATTTTATATATCTCAAATCTTAGATATTTAATTTGACCATTCGATAAAAATAATTGAAGAATTAGAGAAGTAAGGCAGAAATATTATATGTTCAATAATCATTCAGGTAATGTTGAAAAGAAATTCTGTAAGTTTTAGTAATTTAATTAATGAAACGACTTTAATACTCATAATTTTTAATGATATTCCGCCAAAAAAATGCATGAACCTTCAATGAAATCAGCAATGGACAAGGCGCAAACGATTTGTATTTCACGATAGCAGCGCAAATGACTGCTCCATAATATAGCAGTGATTAAGATGGCGTTACATATGGTGGAGCAAAGAGCTAATGGAATAAATGAAATAGCCTGCAATATATAATTAATTATTAATCTTAAATTATTAACTTACACCTCTCTGATGCCACAAATTTTTCAAAATTTCTTAGAATAGAAGTTAAAATTTTAAAAATAAATCGACTACACTACTCGAAGGATTATTATCTTAGTAGTGCATTGCTATTTTCTTAATTCCTCTTCATTTACTTCCGAATTTGAAATAAATTAGCATACCATTTTTCCATTGTTGCTTGCAAAATACTTTCAGCGTATCACTCTATATTATAATATAATATATCATTGCTAAAAAAGACTTACCTTAAGTAGTTCCTCTCGAAAATCAAAACATTCGCTAATATCTTGTATTATAAATGATGAATTCGACATAGTAACTTCTATAATTCATCCTTTACGAAATATTAAAAAAAAAAAACGTAATATCAAGCAAAAGTTTATGATGACGTAAGGATTGCTTTTTATGACAACAACCGTGAAATTTCAAAATAGGAAGCTTTTCACAATCAAAAACTCCTAAAGCACACCCATTTCATATCAATATTTTTATAAGTTCTATAAAACTTTAACATTTAGTCAATTTAAAATTATCAGTTTATAGATAGACCATAAACTTAGCAATTTTCTTAAATTAAACTCAGGAAATTGGAATTTCATTAGTGCTAAAATTATTTGTAAATGAGATGGAAAATGAAGTTGATGAATTTTTTCCTTCATTCATTTTTTAAACTGAATATGCTCAACTTTTTGACGGTACTACTTTTAATGATACTTCATTATTCTTTTAAAAACTGTAAAACACAGGGAGTCATAATTAGATGTAAGATGCCGCATAAAGTTCAGACCTTCACCAGCGGAAGATCATTTTCGTGAGGTAAAATTAAACAAAATTCCGTGAAATTATCGATGATTATTTGCCATATTACTTCGATTCCTTGTATTTTTTAAAGTTCTTACAAAAGATTTGAAAGCCATAACTTCCCATCAAGTGATATCACATTTTGTGTCTATTCATGTTTAAAGTTATATTATTCATAAGAAAATCTTATTACTTAAAAGATAACCGTGAAATTATTATCAAAATAGATAAGTGTGTTCGTCATTGATAATTTGGCAATAAATTCCCTAAAGTGTGCTTTTTTTCTCATGCGTTACTCGAACTCACAGATTAAAATATATATTATTTTCGGAAATTTTTTCAATAAACAAATAAAGGCAATAAATCAAATAAGTGAAATTAATTAATTAACAAACAAGCTAAGCAAAACATTACAAGAAATTGTAATAAATGCGGTACAAAATTACAGTTTTTACAGAAGATATTAAAAAATCGAACAATGTAATCGAGTCAATCTAGAGTTTTTATGGATACTTAAAAAAATAAGAGCATAAGAAAACTGAGTGTGGCAGAAATACAATAAGTACAAAAATGAATTTTCTCACAGGAAAAAAATGAAATATCAGTGAAAACTTAACGGTACTAAATTAGCCGAATAATTCACTATTAGCATTTTTGTCAAACAAGAAAAAAAGAAGCGGCAAATAAAATAACGGCAAATACTTAAAAGTGCACAATCAGCCTGGTAATTAATTATTAGAGGTTTTTTCGAACAAGAAAGGAAGGACTGATATGTCTTTGAGGATTCAACGATGCTTAGGCAAACAAGTTAATCAGTTGCCAGAAAATAATGAAAAATTGCAAGGATTTCAAATTTTCTTATGCAACAAAAAAGGAATATAACTGATGAGAAATATATTTATAATTGTTAAAAGAACGTATTCTTCGAATGGAAGGCATAAGGATATGTCTTTTGAATTTATCTTCAATAAAATTTTTTTTTTTTTATTCAACATTCAACAAGTTCTTTGAACTTCTATCTCCACCATTGTTTGCAAGTCACGCTCGCCCATGAAAACTAAATATGTAAAACTTTCAATTTCCACTTTGATATAATAAATTAAAATAAAAAGTTTCTGCCTTATTGGGTTAGAAAATGATGTTAATTTTAGAAGGAGAAAATACTAATTAATCAATTCGCATTAAATATACTTCGTAACGTAATGCTCATTAAAAATCCAAGTTTTTTCAAAATCAGTAGGGTAGAATAATTGGTTCCGGGAATAAAGTTTAAGATGTTAAATGTCTTTTGAAAACTTTCTATATAATAATAAATGGAACTTTAGAAGCATATGATGTAAAAGATTTTCTGGACATAGATTTAAAATAAAGCTAAAATAAAACAAATACCGAGCACTTTGCATATCCTATAATTTACTTCATTTTGGAGCAGTATTAAAAGTCGGAAAAATAAATGACATTATCTTTATTCCCCACCATCTGTAAAAATCATTCAAAATGAAAAGAGATTTTTGGAGATGAATGATTTGCCACATTAACTTGCATAGAAAAAATTACTGAAAAAAAGGAATGAGGAAAAAATGAAATGTGCCGCAAAAAGTATAAAGCTGGTCTAAGCATGTACAAGCAACAGAAATTTGAAGGTTGGAAATCAATTTAAAAACTAAAATTATAAAAATATCTCTAACAAATTTTGTAAAAAAAAGTTCAACGACTTTTTACTTTGTTGTTTTTAAAAATAAATAATAAAGACAAATTTTGCGAGAAATGAATCGAATTTTACATGTAGTCGAAGTGATAAAAGCACTTGGACTATACGTGAAATTCGATTCATTTCTCGAAAATTCTGTCTTCGTAATTTATTTTCTATATGCAGATTCTCTGTCAATGAATAAATACTGAAAACAAATACAGTTTACCAAAAAAATTCTAACTATATCCAAAAGATTCACTAAATAAATTATTTGAAAATATTCAAATCAGTAAATGAATGACAGCTCCCAAAAGCAATATATTTTTTTGGTATTGAAAAATTCTTATAACGTCAATATAGCATACTAAGCTAAAAAAACGCCATCTACAGAAAAACAAACATATCTTGCAGTATTCAAGGAAGTCGGAAATGTTTGTCTTCCCGAAGATAAGCAGTTAAAATCATTTCCAAATATTTGAAAAAATTTTTTTGTAAAACATAATAATTGTTTGAAATGTATGAAACAATAAAAAAATTTGCATGATCTATAAAAACATTCCGAAATATTTAATAACTGTCTTTTTTTGAAAAAGAAAAGAACTTCCCTTGCTTTTTCGAAAACTTTTCTTTCCAATAATAGGTTAAGAAAAGAGGAAAATGCTAAAGTCTAATTTCCCTTATTTCATTCTACTTTCATCAGAAATTTTTTGAAGTTTAAAATTATCCGAGCTGCGAACGTAGGCTATATTATTTTTTTTTAAATCTTAAAATATCAAATTCTTATCCCCTCCTTAAGTGTCATTAAACAATAACGATATTAATGAATTTAGAAAGAAACATCACCACTGTAAATTGTTAACCCTCACGATAATCAGGTGAAGTTACAAAAGCTTTTTTTTTCGATAACTTGAACAATCCACTTTTTCTAATTTTTTCCAAACCGAAAAATCTTCCTTAAGCCGCTTTCTTTTCTTGAAGCAGATGTTGCAGAACTGCTGAAACAAGTAATAAGTGAGCGCAAACAGATTCAATAAAATGAAATTTATTCAGTAAATTACAGTCTTGTGAAGCATTTTAAACTTTTTTCAACTACATTTCAAAAAGCACAGAAAGCTTAAAAAATGTTTAATGTAACATACTAACTGTTTCGTATGTTGCATAGTAATTAATTATGAAGAGCTTCTTTAAAAATCATTAAAAGAAAATTACTCTGAGGATGTTAAATCCGCTGAAACTGGGACATGCGTTGTAGATAAAATGGATGAAAATGGTGGTGTAAAATCATTCTGGTCAGTTGAATTCAACCGCGCCGAAAATATACTAGACGATGTTACCGTTTTATGCAATCCACCTACAGTATTGAACTAAATTAAAAAATCAACTAATTAGAGTGAATTTCATTGAAAATAGAAGAAATGCAACTTCATGTCTTCAAATTTAGAAAAAATGATTGTCATACCAGCAAGACATCGACCAGCTTGCAAAGCAACATGTGGATTTAGAACTTCTGCTTCATTACTTTGACGGCGCATATCAAGATAAACAAGTAACGATGATAATTCCAATTCTTCGCCGTACTGATTACGAAGTATCACAGATCGAAAACCTAAGTGGGGTTAAAAAATAGCAAACGAATTAATCCTGCCGCAAATGTTGATCCATTCATTTTATCAAAAGGCTTTATCCGGATGATGTATCTCTAACTGCATTGCTCAAAGCCAAAAATATCAGTATTTTATTATAAAAGAACCTTTATGAAGTGTAACCAATAATAAAATGCACTTATAAATTCTCAGGAATGCGACCAATAACAATTTTAAAAAAATTTATAAGAAAAAAAAGATATACCAGTGCGAATGCAGTCAAGTGGATATACGGCTTGCCCAATAAATGGATCCATTTTAGGTCCCATAAAATCGCCATCTTCAACATAGAAGCGAAGTAAAGCTATTTCTGGACAGTAGACTTTGAAGCTAAATTTTTCATTCCAAATCGGATTCAAGCCATTGGAAGCTGAACTTAAATTCAAGATTGAATTTGAAATCTGACAACTAATTTAAATTCTTAAATTTCTCCTCACATTTAAACAAAAAAAAACTAACCAATAGCACTTGTTCGAGTAGAAGTGGAGTCAGCCGGCAAACCGACAACTTCTACAGTAACAACTGGAGAACATATACCCCGATTTCTATCTTTCCTCGACAAATGCTGTCCTGCTATCACCTGAATAACTTTTAAAATTTTTAAAAAAATATCAAATTTCTTTCGCAACATCAAAGATGCAGCTTCAATTTTGCGAATTCGAGTAGTTCTAAAACTAGATTAATTAACATTCAAAATCCTGAAATTAAGAAAAAATGCGGTCAGATAAATCACAGTTCAATATTTAAAAAACCGGAATGATGTTTCTTCTGGCTTAAAAATTTTAAATCTCTTGGTCTGTGAACAAATGCTTACATGAACAATTAGAATAATAGGACAGGAGGTAGACACTATTTCGGCAGCATCTGGAGAAAACATTTCATCGATCATATAAGACGGTTTCAGCACATATCCACACTGACCATTCGCCATAAATTTGCCCTGATTCAGTTGCATTGGCTGCAAAAATGTATCTTATATCCTTTAATTCAGCTTTATACATCAAAAAAGCAACAATAACGCAAAATTATCAAAATTTTCACAAATTGATGAATTAACAAAAGTTTTCAGAAAAATTGGAACATAAATTCAAATTTATTATTTAAAAATTCTACACTATTTTTTAAAACAGTAAGCTAATTTTCCCCAGAATCAAAAATGTTATATAAAACAAATCTATGAAGGGACAAAAATATACTACAAATCACATACTGCAAAGAACAAATCCATTTCGGCATAAGAATTTCTCTTAAACCAAATATTTTAAAATTTACTGCTTACAACAGAAAAAATTTATGAACATTCGATGCCAAATAATGAGATATGGTCATAAGAACGTTAAGCACCAACTCTATCGCCAGTTTGATAGTTTAGTGCAACCATATGGCACGCAGCATTCCACATTGGTACCGGATCATAGTTTGTTGAAGTGACACGTGAACCTTGCGGATAAACGCGTGATAACTGACGAGAATTAAACTGAACTAAACCTCGCTCCATCAGTTTCTCGAATTTTGTTTCACTGAACGAGCACATCTCGTAGAAATTGCCTTGTGCTGCAAAATTTTTAATAGTTTCTGCTTTTTCAAGATGATTACACAAATTCATAACTTGTTCTTGAAATTCAAATTTACAAACGCATTATTGAAGTACTTCAGGCGTTAAATATAAAACTGAACACACAATCAATGGTTAAAATTTACTTCTCAAACCGCTACTTTTCTAAAGTATAAATAAAAACTAAAAATAATCAAATTTGAAGAATCAAAATAACAGGATGCTTCAAAACTAAGAATCACACTGAATTTTAATCTTGTTTCTTTACTTAAGTCACTACTTAACGTCATATTTACTTTAAACAAAGATTTATATTTATATAGCGCACTCGATCTAATGTCAATATCTTCATAATTTTTGATTATTCCTTCTGTAAAGTTTTTTTATCAATTCATCCTTGTCTTTGGATTTTGAGACATCTATTTTTTTAATGGAATTAATTAAAATTACATAAATAAAAATCATAAAACTACTCAGCTCCTCTCTATATTAGATCCTGAAAGATCTATAAAGATAACGATAACATACTTGCAAACTGTGAATTGAAAGGGACTGCCTGACAGTAAACTACCAAATCAGATAATTCAGAAGCTATTCGCAAATTTTTTTCTCGTGTACGTATTAAGATACTACGATCCGCAGCTGTTCTAGTCAACTCATGCAGAATATTTAACCAATCCTCACGATCTTCATTTGAATTGGCTGCCAACACGTATTCCTGGAAATAACTGTCAGATAAATCACATTTCAAATTAAAAACAATTGATCTTTATTAAAACTAAACATTAATCCCCAACTGTGAGCAAATGCCAAATTGTGAATAACAAAACTAATATACGCTTGGGTTCCAGTGCGCCGAAACACGTCTGATTTTAAATGCAAACGGTCGACCAGCAACTTCAAATGGTACTTCTTCAATCAAAGAATCAGCCAAATCGATAGCTGCATAAAGACACAATTCATTCTAAAAAGCATATACGTACATATTGAAACCGCCAAATCAGTAAATAAACGGAAGAAATGTTTGAAAAAATGTTTTGAACATCATTTGTAAAAAAAGCTCTTATAATAATACACGTACCGGCTGATTATCAGAAGTTTCCAGTTCAACAACACATCGGGAAGGAAAAAAACCAGAATGATTGCCATATTTGCCACGCCAGCTATAATACGAAGTATTTCAATTTCGAATTCATCAATCGGAATTTGTTTAGAACAAAAAGCAGTTTTAAATAATTTTTAAGCATACAAAGTACAGATTCTCTCTTAAAATCAAAGAATCAGCCAAATCGATAGCTGCATAAAGACAGAATTCATTCTAACAAGCATATATAGCTGGCTCTTACCGATCTCCTTCCTTCCTCAACACACTTATCACTGCATTTACAGGGAATGTAAGCTCGCTGGGAAGATATCCAGTGTATGGTTCTATAGCTCGTACCAATATCTGAATTTAACAGTGAATTATACTTGCTGCTATCCCGCAGCAAGAATATTTTAATACAGTAGAAGTTGGTTGAAAAAGTTAAACAAAATGAAGGTTAAAATAAGAATCAGATGTAATATATTCTCCATTTGATCAACATTACTTTCGAAAAATCAGACTTCACGAAGAAGAAATTTGTAAGGAAATTCCTAAGTACTATTAGCATCTATCTTTCATCAATTGCTTCAAATGCGTGAATTTTTATATCGTTTTACCCGCTGGTTCTTAATATTTATTACGTGGTGATACACACGATTTCATTTAAACCCGCACTTTTGTGATTAACAAAATAGTTGAATGGAGTAGCTTGCCTAATTTAAAATGTAATTTTTTTCATGCAGTTGTTCATTTCGTGGATAAAGCTCTATTCCTAAGACATAAAAATTAACCATAGAACTCAATAAAAACGTTAAATTCACAAACATCTTGAAAATTTCGTCCTTAATTAAATAAAATCAATCCCATTACCTCTTTATCAATGTCCTTGAGTTCCATATAACAACCAGGTGCTCTGTCGCTACTAAACCGTGAACCAGTAGAATCAGTAACAGTATTTTCATCTACGGGATATTTCAAACAAATCCCGCGGACAAATTCTCTGGTTGAATAATATTCAACTATTTGGTTCAAATTCTCGAAAACTGTTTGGTTGACAACAAAAATTCTACCATCCCGTTTCAAATGATAATGCCATATTTCGCCGTCAACTCTATAAATGTGTTATTACCTACTTTTCCACCAAATAATGCAACAGCAATAATCTCTTCAAATATGAAAAAGCAAAAGCATTTCAGCAAGATAAATAAATTAAAAAGTAAAATAATGCATACCTTAGAGAAAGTACAAAAACGTTTTTATCAGTAGAACTAAAGCGCAGCAAAAAAGCCCCATCTTGTTGAACTGTATTCAATAGTTCTTCGGCACGATTTCTATCTGCTTTCTCATTGAACCATCTAAACAATAAACACAACATCTCAGCAAATGTCCTTGAGAATATGATGCTATTGATTTGTAAGATTTTAACTTTTTACAGCTGATTTCTGTATTAGTCACCTTTTTCTTTCTTTAAGCAAAAAAGACTTCTACGCAGTTGATATCAAAACGTTGTTTATACTATTACGACTGATATTATTACGATTTGAAAATATCCGTGTAATATTTGAACATTAAAAATAAAAAATTCAAAACAGATTAAAAATTCACACATCTAATGCAAAACTTGCATCATTCCCAGATGGGGACAAGGCTGCGGACATGGAGTCACCAATGTCGTACTAAAATTCGGCGTCCTTAATCTTTCCTTCGTATAGTGCGATATAAGCTCATAAAGTGTATCCATTTGCTTATTTTCCAAAAAATAATATTTTCTTTCACCATTCACCATCCTGGTGCGTATTCGACAGTGATGTACTTTTTCATTATGTCTAAAATTGGTATTATTCATACTTTATTTTTATTCCATTTCCGTCTATGAAAAATGCCTGAAACTAAGATCGTCATCTTTACCTTCCTATCCAGAAACAATTTCTAACAAAGGCTTCGGCAATAATTAAGGAAAAACAGTGCGTTTCGTACAAGTTTAAAAGATGCTTACAAAAATGATAAGGAGTAGTCGCCAATGAAAATAGTCGAATCGCGAACCAAAAAAAGACCATTGCCTTTATCTCTGTGTTCTAAAAGACGCATTCTTGCTGTATCTCGATCTGTTTTCCCATGAAACCACTCTTCCGTAACATGTATTTCTTCTGGAGGAACACCGAAACCTGTCGCGTTTGTCAAACCATCCTATAATGAAAAATTAAGCATATATATTGCATAGAATAGAACTGTTAAATTATTTTACAAGCTGAAAAAGTTTTCCATAAAAAATAAATTATAATAGTTTACTAAGCACTCACCTGATTTTCATCATCTTGTGCATTTGCTAATGACTCCTGACGTCTCAAAATCCCATGATTGTTAATATTACTTTCGCACTGTTCCAGCATATAACATAAACGATCCGGAAACAATACAAATAAATGAGTTGTCCAATCCTAAATTACATTAACTGCTCAGATCTGACATTGAAAAATCAAAAATTTGTGTTTGCAAAAATGTGCAATTATAGTAGAAATCTTTTTAAATGTTGAACTTCAATATTTAATCGATCATGTCAAAAAACGACTAGATGTTATATTGTTTTACATATGAAAATTGGCAACCCACATTGCTTACTCCGCTTTTCAAGGAGAGAATTCCTTGCCGAGTAAAATTCAGCGAAAGCAAATCTTGCTCCTGATCTAAAAATAAAGAATTCTGAATTTTTTCAAATAAACTTTGAAGTCTTCTAAATATTTCAATCTAGAACTTAATATTTATAGAATACAGAATATAAACCGGAATATTTTGAGCAAAGAATGATGAATAGTCTCATATATATATATATTTCCATCGAAAAATGAGCATAATTACTAGCAAAAATTTTGCTTTATTACAGTCAACTCCTTAGTTGACTGTAATAAAGCAAATTTTTTTTTTGTAATAAAACAAAATTAGAAAAATTTACCTTCATCAACTTGCTGTAAAACAATGTCTTCACTTTCCGTCGGCAATTTCTTATGCTTTAAGATAATTTTTCGCTTCAGAGCTGCTGGAGATGGTAAATAAGTTTCTTCGCGACTAACTGGAGCTGTGAGTAAATAATCACCAAGAATTTCTCTAATTTCACGAGCAAGTAGGCGTTGCACCGGTACTGAACAATTGTTTTCAATCGAGAGAATCACTGGAAACCTGAATTCATTTACCACTAGTTTCTTAGCGTTATTTTTATATAATGTGGCCAAATTTATAGTTAATTGTTAAGATAATACTGAGAAAAATATAAAAGTATCCTCAATGTTTGTTTTACAATTTTTACAGCATTCATCAAAACTTACTCGCTGTTGATAAAAGCATAATGACGAATGGTGTAAAGCACATCACGCAAACTGATTTTACTAGTCATTGTGTAACCGTGATAAATAACAATATCTTGTATTTCACCTGAACTTTTCTTTTGTCCATCCCAGCAGTCAACTAAAAACATGATGCCTCAAACAAAAATGATATTTAAATATTACACCATTAATTACAGTCGATTTACTTTTTCATTAATTACATTCGAGTTTTTTTTCCTCGCTTCTAAATATTTCCTAATAAGGAGATCAGTTTCGATGATTGTGCTCTTATCGTGTATTTTATTGATCAGTGTAACTGAAATGAACTATATTATATTATTTATTGGATATTTCCTTCTATCTAATTAAGCAGATAGGAAAATAAAACAAAAGCATACGTTCAACACATCTACATCCCATAAGCAAAACTCGAGCATATGTATCCAAGGAGGATTCACTCTTGAGTTGATCGCCGGTAAGATATC